AGTGCGATGTGGAGAAGCAGCAGATCCTGGTGGAGGGCGACGCCGACGCTAACGTGATGCTGGAGGCGCTGCTCAAGTGGTCCAAGGCCAGCGGCAAGAGCGTGGAGCTGGTGGCCTAAGAAAGCACCGTGGATCTTCCTTCGTCGTTACATGTCGAGTATTTCCCTCGGCTTCTTCGTCGAGCATCGCAAAAACAGAAGAAGGTGGCAGAGGGACTAAAGCTAATCGAAGATATTTTTTCGAGTTTGCGTCGTAACTTCTCCATATTGATGTAAGGATACCTTGGCGGTTCCAGACTGAAGCTTGCAGCGGCGTGTAGGGGCCTGTAGACGCAGCGCTTTACTTGTGAGCTACTGTCAATGCTCGCATGTCAGCTTGGTCATTCATGTACAAGTTACCAGTTGCGGTAGTGCGTTTTTTTTTTTTCGTGTGTGTGTCCTCAGAAGGGAAGCTCTGCGGCACCTTCAACGTGTTTTAACCAACTCAGGCAGAACAACCTGCTCTCAGACTGTGCAATTGCAGCTACAGCTTGCTACACTGCCCCCTTCCGAAGAGTCTTAGCAGCAACCGGTTGCCAGGTAATCATCGCTTGCGAAATTGCAACACGGCAATACCAAGATCACTTCCTGAGCTTAGTCAGCCCCTGGAAACTTCCTCCACGTAACGTGCTGTTGGATGTCGCGGATATCGTCGTGTGAATCCTTGCCAAAGACGGGGAAGTGATGACGGGACAGCTTTGCGTCAAGCACGAACGAAGCCAAGCACTTCATCCTTCGGACAGCAGTCGCCAGATGATTCCTCCTCTAAATCGTTGTTTATTTCTTGGCTTTCACCCCTCCCCACACAGGCGTTGTATCATATTCGATGATCTCTATTTCGCCACCTCACCCACATTATTCCTTAACCCAAGACAGTCGTAGTACCTGCTCAGTGCGGAAGTTGACGTCTTCCGCAACAGCGCCGCGGCAGGAAGCGATCCGCCTGCCTCATCGCTCTCCTGCCTCCTCCGACGCGCCCAGGACGGCGTCCATGCGCGCATCTCCGGCCACGGCGTCGGCAGCGGCGTCGTGGCCCAAAGCGCGCGACCGCAGTGCTCCCACCTATGAGCTAGGCGATCTGTTACTCTCTACCTTAAAGCTATCCTCCATACAGCCTACAGAGCGGCGCACGAAGCGCTCGCTGAGCCTCGGCGTGTTGACGCTGGAAATAAGCCTGGTGCTGGGTGCGTGGCTCGCTCTGTCGCGCGGAGGGCTGTCGCCGCGCGTATTCAACGTGGTGGGCGGCACATTCCTAGTCTCCAGCGCGGGTGTCTGCTATCGGGGTGGTTGCCATTTGCTGAGGAGGCTTTCAGCGACCAAACGCATCGGCGAGTTGCTGCTGGATCGCTCTAGCCCGCGCTCATGGCCTCATGAGAAACGTCGCCTGTTCCTCGAAGTCTGCACATGGATGGCGAGCGTTTTGTCACTGTATACAGCGTCACACTCGGCCTGGATCGCCATAGGTGTGGGAGCAGCCACAGCAGCTGTACTGGCGTTCGTGAGCGATTTCCTGGCGGCATCTCTACATCTCTTGGAGACGAGATTGGACCCGCAGCAGATGAGAGGCATCGGAGGCATGCTCTGGCTCAAGGTCGCGCTGTCTTATGTCTGTGTAGGATACATTATATCTGACACGGGCAGGAAGCTACATTCCTACGTATTTGGACAGGAAATTGAAGCGGAAGTGCAGTTCCAGTCGGTGGATCAACTGGTATTCAACTATCTGCTCATCACGCTGGTCGGTGCGTCGCTTATTATTGCAAGTGAACTGCTGCTACTGTGTGCACCCACTCGACGAGCTGGAATTGCACTCCAAGGACGGATTGTAGACGCTCGGAAGAACTGGGAACGGCATCCACTGCGGTCGCTTGTTGAGGTGACAGGAACTTTTGGAGCAACGACGCTGTACTACAGTACGACGAAAGACATGCTGCTATCGCTACAGCTTGGCACGTGCTGTGGCGTTCTACTTATTCTCAGTAGCGAGCTCTTAGCTTCAGCAAGTCGACCGAGGTTCGTGAGTCCGCCGAGTCCGCAGGCAGCTGTGGAGATGCCCGCTGACCACTGGGTGAAGCTCATTCCTGTGATCGTGATGATGCTGTATTTTCTCTTCCAAGTGTATGCCGCAATTGTGCGTGCTGCGAATGTACCATCGAGCTCCTTGACGCTGATGCTGAGCTTCATCGCCGTGGCTGCGATCACGCTTACTGTTCTGGCATTATCTGGACGAAAACCGTCTTTAATGGAGTTGTTTCGCTTGGGCAGACGCCTCGCAGCCAGGTTTTGTGTTGGTATCATTACACTTATCGCTCCCAAGGTCTCGTATGGACTACCAGGCGTGCTATTCTCCTGTGGGCTGTCGGCTTTTTGCATCGCATTTTCTCGAGAATGCTGGGACGATATTGAAGTGAGCGATGGAGCTCAGCTGAAAGAGATTTCGTGTGCTGCGCCAGAACCGGCAGATACCCCTGCAATCTCTACGTTGAGTAAGGTTTGCCCAAGTGATACGCTGCAGTCGTGGTCTGATCGTGCTCTGAGCTTCGTGAAAGAGCGATATCCTCATCTTTACAAACGAGTCAAGTGGACATTTGTAGGTATCATGGTGGTGTCGACATTGGATATGTGCTCGACTTTCTTCGCTGTGATTAACCAGGACAAGCTCTCGCTGTCACTTTCGCAATATTCCGCAATCAACGTTGTGGTGTCGGCTTCAGTTGGATACCTGACGAGTCCAGCACCATATGAGCTGCATCCTGCGGTATTACTCAACACTGGAGTGAAGCAGTTCAAGAATAAGTGGGTCGTCTTCCCGCTTCACATGTTTGTCGAGACGCTGGTGTTCGTCGGTGTTTTCGTCGGTACTTTTGCAGCCTCCTCCACTGTTTTCAGCTCGCTCACGCTTGCTGCGCTTTCTGGAATTGTGGTATCTATCGGAGGTCACTGGGTATGCTCGCGGCTTCACTTAACTGTTGGAACACACATGCGCGTGCAGTTGACAGCAACGTGTGCGCTGCTGTTTTGTCTGTTCTTGATCACCTACGCTTCGATGGTATCGCTGTTCTCTATCTACCACTATTTCGACAGTATTGAGGCAGCCTTCTGCCTCGCGTCATTTGCTGGTATTTTCTTTCTAGCAGCAAGTGAATTGTTCCTGATGTGGGAACCAACTCGAGAGGTGGGCTTGCTGTTGCAGCGCCGGGTTACAAACGCAAAAGAGAACTGGCAGCTGGAGCCCTTACGTTCGTTCTTGGAGCTTTTCACGTGGTTTGCGGTTATCTGTGGATCGTTTGCATTGTACGATGATCTCGTGCTGGCGCTGCAGCTCGGCACCTTCTCTGGCATTGCAGTCACGCTGTCAGGTGAATATTTCCGAAAGAACCGGTCGAGACTCATTCCATGGGGACAGGGTCTATTGGCTGACGCAGAAGTGCTTGCCGCGCCGATCTCACCCATTGGAACGCCGTGTGGCAACGCTGAGCCCAATCGAGCTCGACCGCTTCCGGTTATGCTATTGTTCGCATACATTGGGTCGGGTACCTTTCAGTGGATATTTGAGAACATGCGCAGTCTCGAAGTCACGGTGCTTCTGGCCACTATCGCTGGTATCGCCTTCTTGTGTTTCGCGGACATGCTGGTGTTATTCAAACCAACACGATGGGCTGGTGTGATCTTACAGGACAGGTTCATCAATGTGAAACAGAATTGGCGCGAGTACCCAGTGCGCTCTTTCGTCGAGTTCGGCTGCTTCATGGGCGTTATCTACGGCAGCTACGCGATTTATCATGACTTGGTCGTTGCAGTTCAAGTCGGTACTCTCTCTGGAATGCTCGTGACGCTGGGTGGAGAGCAGCTTCGAAGCTGCGCGCGAGCTATGCCGCTGAACGGTAAGCCCTGTGCTGCTTATTCTCTGCCTACGTGGCTGGCACTCTAACTGACATTCATCAACTACGTTCGTTTATACAGAAGCAGATAGAAAAGAGGTGGAGAAGACGCAAATCCTGCCTCTGCCTGTCATGAGTCTGCTGGGCCTGGTCGGTGCTGTGGCTTTCAATATTATTTATACGCATCTGCGCAGCATCGAGGTGGCATTTGTCCTCGCCACCACGAGTGGCGTCATTTTTGCTCTTGTTGGAGACATGTTCGTCATCTGGAAGCCTACACGCAAAGTCGGTATGATTCTCCAGGAGCGTATCTTGTACTTCAAACCGAATTTCTCCAGTCATACGCGTCGATCATGGATGGAAGTGGCTTCACTTTGTGGCGGATGGTATCTATCCTACGATTTCTTGTGGCCCGGGGACCTTCTTATCGCCATTCAGTTTGGCACCACGACTGGCATTGTGGCCTGCGTTTGCGGAGAGCTCACGATGGAGTATGTTGCTGAAGCGGAACGCCGCTTGATAGCCGGTGTATCCGCCAAACTAGCACAAGAGTAAGTGGAAGTCTCCGTGTTGATAGGTTATGTCACCTAACCTGTTATTCTGTGCTTGTATCTGCAGCCCTCAAAGGGACAGCACGTTTCTCAACCTTCCTTACGAAGTCCAGTTTGAAGTCGCACACTTTCTGACCGCTGAAGATCTACTAGTGGCGCGAGCCACATGCCACAAGATCAACAGCATGCTGAAAGCCGAGTCTGCTCGCTTTTGGTTGCACGCAAGTCTGAGGCGAACAATTCGAGACCACCGCGAACGCTCTCGAGTTCATAGCATCAGCCATCGGATGGGAAACCGTGCCCGATCGCTCGTGTTTGAAGCCATCACGCTTGTGTTGCCTAAAATAGTTGGAGCCAGGTGCGTACTGCAACACAATTATCACGTCGTCACAAGATGTACTCACGAATTTAGTTGTATGATTTCACTTAAATAGAGACCCAGCTCAAGTGCTTACGTCCAGTAACGAAGTCAACCGCGCACTGAAGTGGGTGTACCTCAATGCCGGCTGGATTCGGAAACAGAACCTCCCGCAATTGGTCAATGAAGTCGAGATCGAAGGCAGCGCGCTCATCTCGTGAGTTATTGTCTATCAATCTTTTTAAATGATTCGGTTGTCTAAAGTTTGTTGTATTTGTTGCAGTTTGACCGCTGGAGATGTTGCCTTCGATGTGTTCCGTCACATGCCCGATAAGGTCTATTGCTTTAACATTTCCACGTGATGGTCTTAAAGCTAACATAGTGTTTTTCTGTAGAGTTCTTTGGGAATTATTATCACGCGCAACGAAGACTTTGCAATCGAGCGCGTCGAGGTGCCTAGAGGCGTTTATGACACGATCCAGCGGGACCCTTTCAGCTTCGTGGCTGCCGAGACTCTCTCGACGTTAGAAGTTTTTTCGAACTGGCATCTGACAGTGGTGGCGTTTGTTACGATGACCCTGATTTTCATCGGGCAGTTCTCTAGCGACCTTCTTCGCGCATACATCCTGCCTGCATCGTTCACGTGGTGGGGAGTGAGATAATTTTTTTTGAAACAACCTGCTCAAGTACATGTACCAGCATGCAAAATTACCGCTGATGAAAATTTGTATAATTGACTACAAAGAAATTAATCCATCTAGTAATCAGAAACTCATGTCATTTACTTAGCACTCCGACTCGGTATCTTCGTCTTTAATTTCAATATACTCTGGCACCTGCTTCACTCGGCTGAAGTGCAACCGAAATGGAACTCTGACATCATCTTCGCTATCACTTTCACTCTTGTGTTCTTCATCCGAAGAAGAATCGTCAATTACAATAATTTCAGGAGAATATTTCGTCTTTTTTGCAGTAACTCGTGGAGCAGCTTCTCTCGTAGACATCGTAGATTCTTGTGGAGTTGCTAAAGAACTTGCTACTGCCACTACACGCTGCTTAGGCGATGTTGGCATGGTTGACACGGTTGTCACGTCTCCCGATTCCGAAATTGTGTGTACTCCCTTCCGAATAATAGCTTCATTCTCATCCAAAACGGAGTATCGTACTTCGCCGTCTTTTGCAGCCACATCATCTGGGAGAATCCGCAAGTTGTTAAGGAGATACGACATTTTCATCGCCTGGAAATTGTTTTTGCCAGCGCTTGACGCTTCTTGAACCTCTTCTCTTGTAGGTTGACCTTGTCTGGTCTCGCTATCTTCTCCAGATGCTTCTCTCTTAAAGAGCTGCTGATTGACGGATGCTAGCTGGCACTCCACCGTTCCTCGCATCCATAACTGCTCCACTACAACTGAGTGCGTTGCTCCCATTCGATGAGCTCGACTGATCACTTGCTGCTCGACGGACTTATCCCAGATTTCTTCCAGTAGAAATATATGCGTAACAAAAGAAAGATCCAAACCATGGGAGCCCAAATTTGACAACAGAAGGACGTGAACATTTGGGCTCGAGCGGAACGCCTCCAAGTTTTCAATGCGCCTGCGAGGATTAATCAGCGCGATGAAGTCAGCAGTGGGGATGTCCTGCTGCTCAAAGGCGACTTTAGTTCGCCAAATACTCTCACGATTCTGCGAGAAAATAATGACCTTGAGCTCGCGTTGTCGACCACGCGAAGGCAGTTCGAACTCCTTCATCAACTCTCGAATTCTAGTAGTCATGTAGAAGATTTTACTTGACTCAATCTTCCAGAAGTCTCGCTTGACGTTCACCAGCCTAACGGTCTTCTTGGTTGGCTGACCAACGCGTTTTCTCTTCTTCTTAACGGAAACTTTCTTTCTTCGCTGATCATTGTCGTCCAGCGCCTCGGCATGAACTCCTGGTTGCAGCGACTTGAACCCTTGGCGAGAATACGGCTGATGGCACAGACAACAGCTCGGTCCTGCCACTTGGTAGCGCTTCTCCGTGCAGTCAGCACAGCACATGTGCCACAAGGAAGAAGTAGCAGCAAGTGCAGCTTTTGGTGACAGCTGATGCACTCGGTGGGTGGCTTTGCTCTCCGTGAGTCCATGTAGGCAATCACGGTAGCGATTCTCGACTCAGGAACTTCCGCTGCACGCAGTTTAGCGATGGTTTTATCTCGACCACGAGTCGAGATTTCGCCGGTGAGAGTTGGCTGCAAGAAGTCAAAGTCATTTTCGTCATACTCTTCTCCACAAAAGGTGCAGCAAGGTTCGCCAAGCTCCTTCTTTATGTCTTCGACACAGTGCGCGCAGCACAAATGTCCACACGGTAGAACCATGAGGAAGCGCCGCTCGAATCCACACTCTCTGCACGTGGTCTTCTCCTTGTGAAGCACACTCTCCAAATACTTGGAGACAGTCGACACGCGAGCTTCATTTACTCCGGCATCCACCAATTTGGCTATGCTTTTCTTCATCTTCTCCTTCTTCACAGCCCATTCGACTGCATATCCACCCATGAACGCAATTGCAAGGTCGCTTTCCACGTGTCCGGCGCCTTGGTGGTTCTTGCGATGCAAAAGGCTGTCCGGGTGTATGTCGCCTGGTGTGTGAGAGCTTTTCGGGACATCTATGGTCGTAGTCACCAGACTAGCCCGAACATTCTCTGCAATTGCGTTATACAGCTTAAACTCGCTCGGACTCGGATCCACGACAGCTGTGTGGCGGATTGGGCGTGGAAGGAAGTCACGGATGGATTCCTTTGTGTGTCTGATCATTATCCGATTGAGGAGATGCTGGAGTCGATAGAATCCCATTACCTCGTTCCTCTGGAATGGGCGAGCGATCGCCTTTGACCATGCGTGTCCATCAGGTCGTCCATAAGGTTGACAGCGCAGGAAAACCAGAAGTCCTTGGATATACTGAAGGTCAGCCGACTGAAGCGTGTTTGGCGACGGCGTTCCCGTCATTACCCATCGTCGCTCTGCACACAGCAGGCGGGACATTTGCATCAGCTGCGTAGGCGCTCGACCGCCGAGCTTGTGACCTTCATCCACGACGATACGCAACCAATGCACCGAGAGTAGAGAAGACAAGTCGCCACGGAGACTTCCATCGACGTATCGATCCGGTTGGTCTTCAAAGCCGTATCTTAAGACATTGCGCTTTTCCATCGCAGATGCAGGTCGATGGAGCTTCCACTCCTTGGCCATCCGAGAAAAGGATACAATTACGACATCGTACTTGGCCAACTTTTTGCTTTTTGGTAGCGCTTCTTGTATTTTTTCTGCTTTGTCCACATAGTATTTCAGTCCTTGATGCACCACGTGCATGTCAATCTGCTCCGCCCAGTGTTCAACCAACGCGTCTGGGGCCACCACGAGTGTTGTACATGAGCTCATCAAGTCTTCAGCTATGAGTGAGCGACCTCGAGACGACGAACGGAGCTGCACACTTGCGGTATTTGGCGACGGAGGATCCACCCGAACGGCCAGATTCGATGTCGAATGGCCTCTTGTTAAGAGGATCAGAGCCAGCATCGTGATAGTTTTACCCAGTCCAGGTTCATCGCAGAGCATTCCACCGCAGGCGTCGTAAGCCGTCTTTCCAAACTCTGTCTCCAACTCCAAGTCAGTGTCACTATCTCTGCCGGGAACACTGAACGGGTGGAGCAGCAGCGTATCCCACAATATTCCACGCTCCCTTTTCATCATCCAGCTCAATCCGCGTCTTTGATGTTCGTATAACTTCAAATCCAGCCCTGCAACATCGGCACTCCACAGATCCGACGGCTCAGCCTCAATACGAGCCATCAAACTGTGAAAAACATCAGGAAGATTCAACTTCCGGTGCGGTGCCGGTTCGCACAACACAGGCTCCTCATCTTTTAGAGACACGGCATACTCCACGACACTCGGCGTCGGCGATGAGGCACGCATGGGAGATTGTGGTGCGTGTGGTGAAGCTGGAGAGGACACCTGAATCTCCCTTTTAACCGGCACATGGCTCGGCGCGTCCGAGTTTGAATGCTGTTGATCCCAGTTTAAGCCGGAAAGCGTAGCTCTCGGCGTTCTCTCTGGCGTCACTTGGACTCTGGGCGCCTGCCAGCAATGCAGCCTGCACCCCATCACGTGGCATTTGCTGCGTCTTGCAGCTTCAATCTTCTGCTCCTCTGTCACATTATCTCCTATGTTGTTATAATTATCGAGATGGCACTTGACAAAGTCGAACTCTTCCAGCTTTGAGGCTGCGGCCACTTCGTGCATTCCCTCGATCTGAAGTCGCAATCTTGCGAAATTCCTCCCCATTGGGTCGACCGCATACGCCCCATTGATATGCAGCACGCCACGTCGCTTGAGGATCACTAGGCCACGCAAGAAACCCTCGAATTTGCAACGCGGACAGCCCTCGTCTACGTTAACGCATTCGAGTTCTTTGGTGACCCCTTCTCGCTCCCAGAAGACCAACTGCACATCCATGGAGGCGGACAGATCCAGTGACACGGGGAGACTGCCGGACACATCGCCTAGGTCGGCGAAGCGAGGCGCCAGGAGCTCCAGCACACGCGGCGCCGATGGCTCCGTCTTCATCGCTGATAGCCGCCGACCAAGGGATTTATGTTTGAGCTGCCCAATCCAAAGTGACCATGAAACTTCCATACTTTATTCAAGATAGGACTCAGATCGTCTTCATGAGTTCCTACAAAAGGCGCCCTGATCAGGAGCTACTCAAGCGAGCTACATTGGCACTTTAAGGATTCAAGGCTCAGATTCTTGTATCGTGGAGCACATCCAGCACCACACAGCTTTTATTGTGGCACGTGTGCTAGACGCTGTCGCTGTTAGTGAAGAACGAAAGAGAGCCCTTACTTGATCTTGTCAATGAACACGGCTAAGACTGTACATGTATTCATTCAGCGTATTTGAGTCTTTGCGATGCAAGTTTGCCACCGGTTCATGTGAAGCTTCACCTACCACGATCATTCTCAAACGACATGCATGCTGGCTCCACTCGGGATACTAAAACTCGCCAGTGAGGCCACATACTAAGGCGTTTCTAAGCAACGCGTCGCTACTCAGGTGCGTGACTCACTTCGTAGACTTGTACACGTGCCTTTCGCCGCCACTGGAGCACCAGAGATGGCTCGCCGCATCGCTGCCAATTCGCTGCTCGACAACCGGATGGACGACGTCCGATCGTCTGAGCCAGCAAACGCAACACGGCGTCGCTGGGTGTGTGTTCGCAACGCAGACGGCTCAGGAAATTGTGCAGCCCAGCCTGCCAGGCTGAGCCTGGCACAGGCGTGCTGTGGGCGCTATTATAAATAAGATAACGACGCAGCTTCTAAATACTGTAGTGTGACTTGAAAACTGCTTGGTAATTGGCACCACCCTCATCTACTCCATAGTAACGCTTCCCGGTGGTCCCCCAATGGTGGCCCCGTGCAGTAATTGCCGAATTCATCAACGCAGCACGCCATAACCCACTCGTATTCCTCTATAATGCCGAGAACTGCTCGGAGGGCACTGGAAACCTCCCAATTAGGGAATTGCAGAATGAGCGGAGAGGAGACGCCGCCGTTCCTGTGTAGCGTATCTGTTGATTCGCAGCGGAACCTTATCCTCACGACGAAGCTCATCAGCGACTGCTGGGAAAATAACGGCTGGGCAAGTTGAAGTGCATGTGGAGGACCCAACAACACAAACAAAAACCGTCCTCCACGTCTCGTGCGCAATTGACGTCGGCGGTGTCACAGCTGGCGAGCTCAAATCAACCCTGGCCGGCTTCGAGGAAAGGGGGTGCCTTCGCGCGCGCTGTACCAGGAGAACGTGCTGCGTCGCTCACTGCAACAACGCAATTGCCAAGTTGCAACGCCTAGAAAGGCATAAATTTCAAGCGCAATGGGCCTGTGATGGAAAGATCGCGCTGCAACAAAGTGCAATAGAGTCTAGAGCCTCAGAGACCTGCCTGGAAGTTGATATCTTTATCCGAGACGGTCGTTACGGCGGGGAATCCGTAGATTCGCCACTTTCAAGTTCGAATTCGGCGCCTCCGATTGGGCGTTGAGATCCTCTATGTCGCATAGGAGAATTCAATACGGACAGACCGGCTCGCCACATACAATTTCCAAGTGAGACGATGACACATCCGAATAGATCAACTGCCCGAGTTGCAGTCTCGCTGCTGACGTCGCCATTCTGTTGTTTCCTCCGAAGTCAGCACCCTGTACATATCTGCTGCTGCCTCGCGCACCCGCAGCCTGCACCTCTGCCCTGTCATGTCCCCCACTGCTGACACCTCGCCCGCGCCGTCGCGTGTCCTCGAGGAAACGGACTGGAAGCTGCAGCGTAAGCTCAAGCACCACCAGCGTGACGCTGGTCGCCGCTCGGCTGAGAGCCGTGCGGAGCCGCGCTTCAAGCACCACACGCACCACCAGCACCGCGCCAACGTGATGCGCCTTGAAAAGGAGGCGTGGTTGCCTACGCCAACAAAGAGCGTGCATCGCAATATCCCCGAGCAGCAACGACACGCTGCAGGGACGAATAGCACGCGCAATCATGCATCGCAGCTGAGCCGCTCGGGGCCGTCCGCGACCTCGTGGCCACCGGCAATGACGGCCACTGACGAGCTGGATGAGACCATGGACTCGCTGTCGCTCGCGTCGTCAGCGCCGTCCACTGCGTACGTAGGAAGACAGGACGAACACAGACGAGAAGCGCGCCCCATGACGCTGTTTGAGAGCGCGCGTATCTTCAACGAGTCGGGCCAACTGCTCAGCCACGACAACTTCGACGAACTGGGATCGTCCCCTGAAATGATCGCCGAGGGTACTCCCAAGCGCAAGTTCAAGCGCCGCGTGGGACGTCGTAAACACGAGACCAAACGTACCAATGCAGTGGACACCCTCGCCGCCGACGAAGTGGTGCTGGAGCTCATGTGTCTGCTCTTCCCCGACGTGGAGGTGACGCAGGAGCTGAACTTACTGCTACTAGGCAGTTCCCAGCACGAAGACGTCTTCCACTTTGACGAGGACGACATTGTGGATATTCCAGCAGCTACCAAGCCAAAGAACGGCGTTCTGGACATCGATCTACTAAAGTTTCAGGCCGCGCTCACGACTATGCTCTTCAGCTCGGATTGCTCGACACAGGAGATGCCTGTGCGCGGAACGTCTGCAGAAACCCTGCAGGAAATATATTTTACGCCTCATTGGATCGCCCACGAGATGCTGGCTATGGTGAAGCTGGACGTCCTAGCCCAGTACGACCGGTTCGCCATCATGAACGCGATCTTCCGTACTATATCAGATACGCGTCCATCTATCTTGGCTGCTGCTGCGTCGGTGTCGTTGGCGATCTTCCAGCATCAGGGTCTGTCGGACATTTCGCCTCGCGATTCCGGCAAGGATCTCGTCACCGTCAAGGGCATGATTGCATTTTTGAACGCAGCAGTGGATGTCATTGAACGGGACGCACGATACAACCCCGAGGTGTTTGGCAGCAGTGACGACGAGATCCGCGACGCCATCGGAGAACTTTGCAGCCAGATCATGCGCGCGATCCGACTGCTTGTTCGCAGCTCACCTGGAGGCAGTGGGAACTCTGATTCCAACCGCAACCAGCTCGAAAAATACGCAGAATGCAGCGACTCTGCCGAGGCCACGACGTACCGTGCGATGGGGGAGCTGGTGAACCGGATGGCCGCATTCTCTCCGATGCACGGCGAAGAATTCCTGCGCTGGATGCTGCTCAAGTGGCCACAACGCAACGTCCAGCTCCAGTTGTTCTTCGTGCGGTTCACAGCCGGATTGCTGTCGCAGTTTATGCTGCTCGGTCTCATGTTCCCAGCCGACGTCGTGCATCGCACCTTCACACGCATCCAAGCTTGTATCCAGTCGACCCACTTCCTAGTGGCTCAGGAGGCGTGCAACATGTGCGGGAACTTCCAGCTCATGAGTATGTACCTGTCGTGCGACCAGGCTCTGAGAGAGAAGATCGCGTCCGCGCTGCACGAGAACGCCACCTCCCACTGGAACCAGCGCATCCGTGAGATCTCCGACGAGTGTTTTGACATGCTGCTCGATCTGGCATGAGCTCGAGGAAACGTGGGGTGGCCCAAATGAACAAAGCACATTAGAAAACCATAGAAACATAAAATAACTCACAGGCCCAGAGCCCTGTACCACATGCGCCAAGCGCAACGTATGATATCACAATAGAAAACACTACTATACCATTCTCGCATTTTTCGTGTTTGACGGCGGCAAACACGCGCAGCAGCAAAGCCTTGAAGATAATTCTCAGAGCATGAAAAAATCGACAAGCAACAGCTTCAACTTGCAGGCTCAACACCGGTTCTCGTGCCCAGTTTCATCACACTGCTCAAAGAGCCACTTGCGCCGCACCATTTCTTAGCTGGAATATTTTCGTTTCCAATTGCCATCGCTAAGGTATGCGAGCATGTACTGGTATTAATGCGTGGAAATCAGCAGCAGCACTATTAGACATTCGACGCGCCGCGCGTACACTCTTCGTGACCAACGATCTGGCTCAGCTGTCACCAGTCTGCTTGCTGACTTTGCATGACGAGTACTCGACTGGCGAGTCACCTGTGACGACATTTCCGGTATACGTTTCACCCACTGCCACGCTGTCGTGTCACGAGTGCAGGCCACTCTGATACAGCGGATCTCGTGTCGCTGCCATCATGAGCGGCCTCGAAGCACTGTCGTCGTCGCCAGAATCTTCACATTGAACCGACGGAAACCGCATTCGAATCGCACTGGAATTGAAGTTGCCTTGTTCGAGATTGCTGTAAAAACCGAACGGGATCCGTAAAAAGGGTCACGTAAAAACAATTTTAGAAGACCCCTGCCAAAACGACTAAAGATCCGATTCTAGCTGAGTGTATTGTATCAAATTTCTCAATCACAGTACTAAGTTAAAATAAACAAATAATATATTAAAAGTCGTTTAAAATATCACTTTAATCAGTTATCCACTATTTACGCTATCAAGTTCTCCAGGCCGATTCCTGTCTGCCTGCATCTGTCTCCTCTCTTTCTCGGCACAGCAGCGATCACATCAAAGTGCCAGGTTCGACTCGCTGTCTGTGTGTCTTCTTGAGGCAGGCAGGCAGGCGGACAGGCCAGTTGGTGGACGGTCGACGTAGCTGGTCGGCCAGCAGCACAAGGCAGCGCCACCGACGGTCGAAGCAGAGTTCTATCGCTCGATAGACTGCTGAGATCATTTAACTCTCGCGCTTCAACCAGCAGATTCAATACGAAGGAGTCGCCGCCAGAGCGGAGAGGGAGTGGCTGCAGGCCTGAGAGACGAGATCTCTGGCGCGACGCTCCAACCCGCGGCGACTCACAACAGAGACGCAGGAGGCAGGAACAGATCCGCAGGATGTGCAGGCGAGGCAGGATATCCAGCAGATTTAGGAGGTGGATGGTCTACATGTTTGCCATTTGGATAGCAGCAGTAATGCCATCGCTAGGGGTCGACGCATTGGTGCAGCAGACGCAGGTCATTGCACGCTGCCTCGGTTGGGCCAACAACACTTGCGCGTTCTCACCAGTGGAGCCCGTGCACTTCTCAGGGCTCGATCTCGCTCAACAGACCGTGTGCAAGGTACTTCTGTCTCCTCTTTCTCAGCGAGGAATAGATTGGGGCTTATTTCATTGATTAATGTTGGTATTGTGGTATTGCAGGCAGATTTGGCGGTCGCAGTCAAGCAAATAGACTGGGAATCGCCTGCCGGTGGACGCGGATCCGTGGATAGTTTGCTTGTTAATGGCGTGGAGATGCTTCAGTCGCCCGTGTTCCCGTCACAGGCGTATATGATGGCGAACTACCCGCATTGCAATGATATGTTCAACATTTTCCCGCCTTGGGGCAATGGTATCATTGGCCCGGAAGGACGCAAGTCTATTATCCCGGAGATCACAAGTGCTGACCTGCCGATTTCGCTTCATTTCAGCTGGAAAGGTTCTCATGAAGTTAACCCCGTCTGCTCCATGGTTGGTGTCTCCATTGCCGGCTACGCAGAGATTAATATTTATCTCGAGGCGCAAGATAATTCAGGTATGGAATCTTGACAGTGTATTGAAACAATAGATGTGGAATGGCGTTAATATTTTTCCATGCTGAACAGATTGTCCTGGTTGGGATGGCGCCTCGCTTACAGCTTGCTTCGGTAATGGCAAATGCGGTTGTGCTCCGAACGATTTAACCCCACGGACCTGCTCATGCGTGTACGAAACACAGAATATGTCGGTGCTGTAGCTAACCTAACTGAAATGATCCCTGTTTGTATGGACGTGTAGGAATGGATACGCCGCTCCTGATTGCCGAGACTGTGCCACCGGATTTTTTGGTGAACATTGCAAGCGAACGTGTGAGCCGTGCCTCAATAACGGCCACTGCGATTCGGGATTGATGGGTACAGGCAAATGCGTTTGTCCCGAAGGTTTCGACCCTGATACCCGCTGTGCGACTTGTTTGCCTGGCTTTTATGGAGATAAGTGTAAGCGGTGTCCAGACTGCAATTTTCCCCATGGAAACTGTGACGACGGCTTGATGGGAAGCGGTCGATGTTCATGCGCGGTGGGCTTCGATGCCGATAACAACTGTATGGAGTGTATGAGCTCTTTCTTCGGATCAACTTGCCAGCCCTGTAAACCGTGCGATGGTGGCAAGTGCAACTACGGGCTTCTTGGCGATGGCGAGTGTGTGTGTTCAGAAGGTTTTTCGTCGGAATCGCGGTGTCTGGAGTGCGAAAAAGGCTTTTATGGTCCATCATGTACACCTTGCCGCACCTGTAACAATCATGGCCGCTGTAATGATACAAGTTCCGGTGACGGATCGTGTATTTGTGACGAAGGATACACACCGGAAAGTCGCTGCTCGCTGTGCGACGAAGGTTGGGACTTTAACCCCATGACGATGTCGTGTCAGTGTGCACCGCAGCACTTTGGAGCCCACTGCCGGTCGTGTCCAATCTGTGCCCCACACGGACATTGCAACTCGGGAGTGGATGGAGACGGACGATGTATTTGTGACGTTGGATGGTCTGATTCGAACAACTGCGTGGGCTGTATGAGCGGCTATTACGGCGAGACCTGCGTTGCATGTCGAAAGTGTGGAGAAGGGCGCTGTGATGACGGACTTCATGGTTCAGGCAAGTGCAATTGCCACCGCGGCTGGGACTCCCTCACTGACTGCTATGATTGTGAGGAAGGATATTTCGGCGAAGATTGCCAACCATGTCCACATGACTGCGGACATGGCACTTGCTCCAGTGGACTCAACGGAACGGGACAATGTATGTGCCACGAGGGCTGGAAACTCGAAGGAAAGATGCCGTGTACCACTTGTGCTGATGGATACATCGGACCAACGTGTCAGTTGTGCCCTGGTTATTTGGAAAGTGAGGTAGCTTGCAATGGACATGGCCAATGCGTCATGTCTGGTACCGAAGCTGTGTGTCACTGCGATGCTCGATATGGAGGAGATGGCTGCGAGTCGTACGATTTCCCGTTCGTAATGGTGGCCATTCTGGGCACTATCGCGCTGTCGACGCTGGGTTTCTGCATGTGTACAATGCGTCGTCTCGCTCGCCAGCCACACGCACTGCAGGGACCGTTCCTGAACCGTGGGAACAGCTTCTCACAGTCTGAGTACGTTGAGATCTCCGACATGGCAGATCTCGAGTACTTCGTGTCCAATGACAGTCGTGACTGGCTCATCCCTTTTGACTCGCTGTCTCTGCAGTGCGAGGTGGGCAACGGTACGTCTGGCCAAGTGTTCCGAAGCCTGTTGCACAGCGGCGGAGGCAGCTCGGTGGTCGCCGTCAAGCGTTTGTACAGTCCCGTGACGGGCCAAGAGTATTTCCAGAGCTTCTTCCGACGCGAAGTCAGTATTTTGAGTCGCTTGCATCACCCGAATGTCGTGCGGTTTTACGGTGTGAGTTACTACAATCGCGTGCTGTACATCGTGACGGACTTTTGCCCGAAATCGCTCAGTGCGCTGATTGAGAACCCAGCGGCCAAAGGACCTCTTGAGGAAGCTGTGTTTATGAAGGTGATCAACCAGATCGTCAGCGGTATGGGCTTTCTACACAGCCGCAACGTGGTACATCGCGACCTGAAGCCAGCCAACGTACTCATCTCCGAGACAGACGACGTCAATATCTGTGACTTTGGGCTTTCGCGGCTTATCGAGCCTGATGCTACGACCATGACTGCAGAAGTTGGTACGCCAAGTTACATGGCACCAGAGATGGCAACGATGGGCGGCATCCAGTGCTCCACGAAGGGTGACGTGTATTCGTTCGGCATCTTGCTGTACTCCACCTGGTCTCGTAGTAAACCCTACGGCGATCAAGGCATGAACCCGTTCCAACTGGTACGTTTTGTGGGTTTGTATTTGCGCTATTGAAGCGTAATACTCATGAAGCTTTTGTGTTTTATCTTGCAGATGACGGCAGTGGTTAACGGACTTCGCCCAGTGATTCCAATCAGCTGTCCGCCGGCACTGGCGCGCCTCATGCGGTCGTGCTGGCATCAAAACCCGGATATGCGTCCGTCGTTCCCGGAGATCAGCCAGATCCTGAAAGACCAGTGGCTGTTGTCCATGTACACTGAGGAGGAAGAGTATTACTACCCGGAATCACCCGGACGCGTCCAGCTCATGTCAGCTTCCTCGTCCGTGTCCACAATCCCTATTGGTCACGGCCGCGGTAGTAAGGAGAATGTCAACGCCATGTCACCGTTTGCGTCGCCTCGCCATGACGGCGATGGCTACGGGACCTACCAGGAAGCAGAAGAAGAAGCAGAACCTCGAGAAGACGACCGGCTTTTGGACGAAGAAAAGCGGCCACGATAGATTCTTATGACGACTAAATAGACTTGTGAACCACAGCAGGCCGGATAGCGATTGTTCTTACCGAAACAGACGCCGCATATTACGTCCACGAGCCAGAGGTCGACGCTTGTAGTACTTGCGGTGCGCCTCGCGAAGGTGATGCGGACGGATGGGGCCCGTCTCGCCGTTCTTCTCCATGATCCGTCGTGCTTCGGCTGTGATCTCTCCTACGAAGACCTTGGTCATGCCGGACATAACGATAGCCATGACGTTTGTCACGCTAGGCGCTTTCTTGTCCGTCGCCGAGCACTCGTGGATCGCCTGTGCCATGCACTACAGCAACACAATGCTGTTAGCCAGTTTTCTCTTCCTTTACTGCTGCATTTTGAGTCTGTTACCCGCTTGATGGCTCCGCGCTCGAAGTGTGAGCGGCGGAACTGCTCGTGACGTCGAGCCTCCGCTTCAGGCAGACTCTCCATCATGCGTAACATTGACGCGCTGTCCGAGAGCTCCACCTTGTCGTCATCGCTGTCCATCTCCTCTTCGTCTTCTTCGTCGTCTCCTTCGTCTGCGGTGCTTTCTTGTGGATCATCGTCCGTCGTGACGTCTCCGTGTCGTGTCGCGAGCGTCTTGCCTTCTTCCTCGTCTTCCGTGTCCTGGGACGCGCTGGGGGCCGCCATGTCTTCGTCAACAGCTTGCGCTAAAGCATCTCCTGCTACCACATCGGCCATTTTGGAATCGGAGTCGCAAGAACGAGAGCTTTGGTGCAATACATCAATTAGTGTGGGACACACCGTTGTTGCAGCTGTTGTTGTTGCACAACCATCTAACCGAAGGTTGTCGCACAACATGTACAACAGAGGATGGTCGTGTTTCACCCATTGCTTTACGTTAGCACGAAGTGTCCTTGCGGACTTTTACGTTCGCATTTTTCACCTCTTGACTGTAGACTCTCCAACAAAGAGTGATTACAAATGTGCTCCTAAGGTGGCCACGCATTTATTGCATGTATGCTCCATTGCTATACAATTCCTGGTGCATTTTTTAGTCTTGTCTTTCATCAACCTTGGCACCGCTGTCTTTCTGGCTACCGTGTGAACCGGACAAGGTGGCAGTGCATTCTTTGCTGCTCTCGTCCTTTTCTCGCTGCTCTTTACGCATTTCGTACTCTAGAAGACCTTGCATGATATGCTGGCGATGCTCCTCGATTTCAACCATTCGCGCCAACGCCACTTCCTCGTTGCGACGCATCTCCGTCGCTTCCAGCGCGATAGTTGCCGCAGCGGCGAGAATGGGCTCAGCAGTAGCCTCATCGGACGTAGCTTGTAGCTGTCCAAGTAGTCGCGCCAATTTATCAGCGAGATTATTGACGGCTTTGGCCAATTGTGGGTCATGGACACGCACTGGGCTCTGCTCAGCGCCTATGAAATGTAAGTCAGCAAAGAAATATTCACGCGAACGCAAATAAAGCTGTTTCTAACAGCTTACCTGCGCCATTTCGCAAGGACAGTAGGTTATGTCGGTGTCTAGCTCGCTTTGCATTGGCTGGTGTCAATGACTTGGTCAAATCTTCTGTAGCGGCGGCCACTACTAGTGCGTCCAACGCTTCGTGCCTAGGCTGATACGATGCTGGAGTTGCCGACGAAGATATCATTGTTGTCGCTGATGGAGACGGGTGGTCCGCAATAGTAAACCTCATTTTTTTCGTTGTTGAGGCCGGGTACACGTCACGTAACCGCTTCCAGTGCTCCTTATGAGCTGCCTCGCTTGCGACCTGCAAACGATCAACTCTCTCGCGGAATGCCTGCTGGGCCTCTTTTGCCGCTTGGTTTTCCAGTGTTAGGTTTGCAAACCTCTCCGGGTTTAAGGAAACACCATCGATATCCATCAAGCGCGCAATGGAGGCTCGAATACGAGCACTCCAGTTTCGATCTCCTCCGCTCCTGCTAGGCGCTGCCGGTGCAGTATTAGCAGTAGTGGAACGTTCGTTATGACTAGCTCCTTGCGATACTATCGGCGTGGTGTCCATCTGGAAAGACAGTAACGTCATGTTAAAACCGTCAGCGGAGCTCAATTAACCTACTTCCACTAACCTGGTTGTTCCGCAAAAGAGGGTAAGCCGTCTGCGCATCATTCGAATTAGCGAGCGGTGGCTGCTGTTGGGAATCTGTTTACAAAGCACAAGACACATCTGTGGTCATCGCTCTGTTGCTCTTATCGATCGTGCTAACATATATGTAGTGGGAAATGCCTGCAAATAATTGCACTAAGGCTCACCTCGAGCAACGTTTGTATGACTGCGATGGCTCTCGCCACTCTTCTTGGCCTCTTTCCGCCACATCCTAGCGGCAATGAGGAGGTGGTTCGTGTATTGGCTCTTGTAGGGAGGTTTGACTGTGTGTTAGCAACTCAGCACGGTGGCAACCACACAACTGTGTGTAAGACCTGTCAGTTCCCAACTGAGACTTGTGCGAGACGCAACAATACACAACAAATAAAGCCAGGCGAAGCTGAACGAATTCCTGAGTGCACAAAACTCGGTTTTGCGTCCAAACTCGATGCAAGTTGGCAAGTGTGCGAGCGAGCGGTTTGCCGCTGACTTACAACACTCCCAATTGCAAACACTCCCGGTGATCGCGATATTTTTGCCAACCAACGAGCAGTTTGATGGCTGAAAAAAGATTTTTGGATACTGAGCCAAAAAGCGGTCATTGGCATTTCTCAGCAGTTAATTTGTGGCGTCACATTTCTCGAACGAAGTGGCAACTTGAAGCGTCTCGACCAATCACAGTTGAACCATTCGCAAAACTCAACCGACCATCGTTGCAGTTTTGCTTTTGCAAATACATTCGCGAGCTCAAACCATCGTTTACCGGATCTCGCGACCAAAGGCGAAGCAGAGTTGGTGACATCGACGAGGAGTAGATCGAGCCTTTAAGAGCGATAGCCTCAAAAATATTTTGCCCGTCGCAAAGGTGACTACAATAGCTTTGGATTTTGGAATGGTAGAACACAAGCTGGAGCCCCTGCCGAGAGTTCGACTGGAGTATCCGCGCAAGTTGAAAGATCTGGAAAATTTTCTAAAGGATTGAGAGACGTCGGCTCGCTTTTCTTGTTTGCTCGAAGATGAATGAGAACTTGCCGCTGAGTCCTCAAAGAAAAACTGCGCATACTGCAACAATAATAACGGAATTCGGGATGGACATAGTCGTTTCTTGGAAGGTATTGGAGTTACGTTTAAAAAGGATAGAGGACGAGTCTGACAAGTGGATAAGGCAACGACAATTTCGTCGATTCTTCCGAGCTACCACCGCAAAGGCTCTCGACTGTTGCATTGAATTGGGCGGCCCTGTAAAACCCTTGCTGCGCATTATGGTGGTTTTTGAGCATTAACGGTGGGGATTCAGCATCAACGGCGGCACCGGTGAAATTGCGAGGAGAAATCGTTTCCAGTCGTCCGCGTAAACCGTCGTTGTTGTAGCACGACCATCGAACCGACGTGGTTGTACAACCTCTACAATGATGGTCGTGTTTTACTCCCTGTGTTACGCTACCCGTTAGCACGAAGTGACCACGTGAACTTCTGCTGTTCAATTGCTGCAAGTGAGCTGGCATTTTCACCTCTTGATTGTTGACATGGATTTTATTACGAATCAATGTCAGGTTCCATTGTTCATGCATTTCCAAGCCATTTTTAGGCTTTTTTCATCAGACCTTGCGCTCTCAACTGCACAGCAAACGTACTTTTGGGAATGATGTACAGTGGCAACAAGCAACACTACAGTAGTCTCGTGGACGAGTTGAAGCGGTGCGCCGTGTAGTTAAAACGGTCTTGTGGTAGCTCTTTTCAGACCTCCTAGAATCGGCCGCTCGACCTTTGATTCGAGAAACGTGGGGCAACTTGACGCGTCTCGACCAAACATATTTGATCCGCTCGCAGTGGATTGTATCACGATGCCCAGTTGGGATATTTGGCTAGTGTATCATTTTAGGATGATGCGACGATGACTCGATGGTTGAAGACGTCGAAACTGCAGTGTCATCGGACGCACAGGCAGAAGAGGATCTCAAGGTATTGGAGAACTATATTGTGGGTATGCTCTCAAACTACGGGTCGCTTACGAATCCACAACTTGCTCCACTTTATACCCTCAAATAGTAGACAGCGGTAGGGAAATACCGGTTGGAGGTCGATCTCCGAGCAGTCGGCGAAGCTTCATATTAAAGACTGATGGACTGTGTACGACAAGATCGAAGTGGAGTAACTCAAAAGTGTCTGACCGACATTTTCGGCGATGGTTTCGATGTAACCCGCGGTAGTCAACCACTGCATGAAGCACGTAGGGTCATTGATTCCACGACAATGTCGATTTCTTGTGCAAACTCACGCGTGAGGTGACTTCCCGGCGAAGAAGTTCATTGTGCCCTGTTCTTCACCGAAACTCTCTATTGCTTGCAACAAACAACGCTGACAAGGAATATTTCGAGACCAGACGCCGGGTCATTGGCATTGAAACACTACACACTCAGTTGTATCTGCGCTTAGAAGACGATCTCCAAGAGAATCTGTAGCCAAATGAACCTCCGCTTCAATGACGTATACTCGACTCCATTCGCGAGATACTCTTGACGAAGTTGTCGAACGTCGTCCTGTGGTCGTTCAAAACATTCTTCACTGATATAGCAGAGCAGTCAAATGCATTGCAAATGGAAGTTGTCATGCGGCTAGTTGACTCGGTCGCGCTTTCACTGGGACGGACGTATTGCAGCATCGTCGCCCACATAATTAACTTCGACGCCAGCAAGTTCAGCTTCAAACTCGCGATCGTCTGACAAGCCTCTCCAGGCCACAGCGCCGTGGTAGAGCACAGCTCGCTGATTACCAAGAAGCGTAGCCCAGAGTATCTGTAGAGTACACGCAATGGTTCAATATATCCGCGGCTGCACATGATGGCAAGTTTAATGCAGCAGACCGAGAGCACCAACTGCAACGACACGTACATGTTTCGTCAGAAACGTCAGCATCAATACCAGCGATGCTTTACTGTGTGCGAAGCGTGATGCTTGGAACGGTGATAACACCACTAATACTCTGTAGAAACTTGTGCGAACCAGCTTCGTCTGGATCAGGCGTAATATATCCGAGTCGGACGTCGTGCTGAAGTGGGTGAAACTGTAAGTGGTTGCAGTCGTCCACATAAACCACCGTTGTCGCACGACCATCGGGCCGAAGTAGTCGTGCAACCTCTACAACACAAACATCGTTGGTCGTGTTCCATTCTCTGCTTTGCATTAGCACGATGTGTCTTTGCATTTTCACCTCTTGACCGCACACGAATTTTATTACAAAGCCATGCCATGGTCCATTATTTATTCATTTCTCGGCGGCATTTTT